TGTTTATTCAACTTTGTATATGTTTTACCAGTGTGTAAATGATTACGGGTGAGTTTCCATATATCATTTGTATTTGTAATCTATATTATTGTTCTGAATGTCGATTATTTGCCCGTAAATTGAACGCATTTTAAACTGCGTCACAAACTAAAGTGAAATTGAAAGTGAAACCAAACGCTTTCGTATCGGACTTTGAGCCGGAAGTGCAACAAGATGGATCCTGAAACTCCCAGTGCAACTGAGCCTGTCGTCCCACCTCGCCCTCCAAGGGAGAGACACCTTCCTGCCCATCTAGCTGACTACGACGTCCTGCTCCTGCCTAACCTACATCCGGAGCCACCTCTTGCTGATTCGTCTTCTCAGAGACCATCTAGACCATGATACTGACTACAGAGCAAATAGTACAGTGGATATCCAAAGAGATGTTGGAAATGTGTTGGAAATGTGGGTGAACTAATAATCCAGACAGTTGTACTCTGAAAAGAACCTGTACAAACTGTAATTACGCACGGTCCATCATAATGTAGTTAATCTGCACGGAGCCACTGTTTTCCTTCATGTGTCACCCTTGCACAGACCATGCAGGAAATACCTGATTCCTCATGCTTTCACCGCAGACACCCTGAGACTTTCCGAACATTCCTACCCTGTGTCCACTCTTCGGCACAAGTATGAGCATCTTAGGTCCTTGCCATTACCCTTGATTGAACAAGCCCAACCTCTATTGCTCATCGGGTCTGACATGCCTCACCTGCTTACTCCTGTCCAGCCAGTGTGTATGGGACCTGCAAATGGACCAATTGCCATCTGTACCAGACTTGGTTGGACCCTCCAAGGTCCCATTGGGCTCAGTCAAACCACCCTCACCACCCCACAGTGTCTCCACATAACCACAACCACATCGAATACTGAGCTCTTCAAGAATGTGGAACGCCTCTGGCAAATTGATACCCTGCCCTATGTAAATGAGAAGACAGCCACTCGCTCCAAGCAAGACCAGTATGCCTTCTCTCTTCTCCAGAAACATACCACTAGGGTAGAAGTCAGTGGAGTTATGCGATACGCCACTCCTTTGCTCAGACGACCCAATGCTGAACTTCCTAAAGCCCCTAAAGAAGCAGTGATGGCAAACCTTCGAAGCACTGAGCGTAAACTTGCTAAAGACATTAGGCGAGCCGAGTCTTACTGTTCCGAAATAAAGAAACTGCAAGAAGCTGGCTATGTGGCAGAGATATCAACACAAGAAGCTGAGCAATCCCCGGAGTCGTGGTACATCCCTCACCATATGGTGACGCATAACAACAAGGACAGAATTGTTTTCAACTGTTCTTATTCATACCAAGGCCATGCTTTAAATGACATCCTCCTGCCTGGGCCCGTTCTTGGTCCATCGTTACTTGGTGTCTTGCTGAGGTTCCGTGAACATCCTGTAGCCATCAGTGGAGATGTGAAGGGTATGTTCCACCAGGTTCGCCTCTCGCCAAGTGATAAGCCTATTGTACGCTTTCTGTGGAGAGACATGCAGAGGACAGAACCGCCTAAGATCTACGAATGGCAAGTCTTACCATTTGGCACAACATGCAGCCCGTGCTGTGCCATATATGCACTCCAGGAAATTGCTCAGCACCACCCGCAAGTGGACCCAGCTCTGACGAAAATGGTCAAAAGTTCCTTTTATGTAGACAACTGTCTTCATAGCCTTCAAACGGTTGCTGAAGCTAGAGCATTAGTAGACAACCTACGGCAACTTTTGCTCACCGGTGGGTTTGAGCTTCGTCAATGGGCCAGCAATCGACCTGAGGTTATTCAACATCTCCCCTCTGAAGCAAGATCACAGAATAGTGAACTCTGGCTATCACAGAAGAGTACTGATCTCCTGGAAGGTATACTTGGGCTACTGTGGAACTGCCTCACGGACTCGTTCAGCTACAAACCCAGCCAATCCAGATGCCTTGAACCCACTTTGCGTAATGTCTACAGAGTTTTGGAATCTCAATATGATCCCCTGGGTTATCTCATTCCATTTACAACCCGTGCCAAAGTACTAGTCCAGGATCTTTGGAAGAACAATCTAGGGTGGGATGACCCAATCACATCTGACAGCTTGTTAACCAGATGGCAAGACTGGCAACAAGAGCTCCATAGTTTGAATCAGATTGCAGTCCCAAGGTGTTACACTTCATTCAAAGGGCATGAGGAAATCCTCAATCGGGAATTACATATATTCTGTGACGCATCTGATAGGGCCTATGTCTCAGTGGCCTACATGCGCACAGAAAACAATGAAGGACATGTACATGTCTCATTTGTGTTAGCCCGTTCACGAGTGGCACCTCGGAAGCAGATGACGATCCCTCGTCTGGAACTGAGTGCAGCACTTACCGGGGCGCAGGTGGCTAATATCCTTCAAGCAGAACTAACTGTGGACATCAATCATGTCATTCTCTGGTCAGACTCATCTACCGTCCTCCAATGGCTTAAATCCGACTCGTGCAGATACAAAGTCTTCGTGGGAACCCGGGTGGCTGAAATTCAATCACTCACTGATATTGATTCCTGGAGGTACGTTGATTCAGCGAACAACCCTGCTGATGTGATAACACGAGGCCAGTCATTAAAGGATTTAACCCCACCTTGCCGTTGGATTAATGGACCAAATTTCCTACATCAGCCAGAGTCATGTTGGCCCACCTTGCCAGCAGATGAACCTGAACCAGAGGCAGAGTTGAAAAAGTCAGCAATTTGCCTGCATGTGTGCACTAGTCCAGACATTCCCCTTTCCGATGACAACCAATTTAGTACCTGGTCTGAGCTAATAAAGTCTACAGTGACATCCCTTCACGGGGGCGGCTACATCTACCACGCAGTCACCAGATGATTCAGAGAGTTACATCTCCGCAGAGAAGCTCCTCCTACAACAGGCTCAGAAAGATTCCTTTTCAGAGGAGTTTAAGGCTCTCACTTCTGAGCGACCATTACCATCTAACAGCAGATTAGCATCCTTATCACCGGAGTATGATAAAGCCAGTGGACTTATCAGGGTCGGAGGGAGACTGAGACATGCTAAGCATATGGAATTGGACGCAATACATCCCATTGTGCTTGATCCGCAGCACCACCTAACCAAGCTTATGATCAAGGACTATGATGCATCCCTTTTACATCCTGGGCCAGAGAGAGTCTTTGCCGAGCTGAGAAGACGATACTGGATTCTGCGAGGAAGGGAAGCTATCAAGAAGTATCAATACAGGTGTATGGACTGCCAGAAATGGCGTGCTAAGCCTGGTATACCAAAAATGGCCGACCTCCCATCAGCATGCCTACGTCTGTACAAACCCCCATTCTATTTTACTGGAATGGATTGTTTTGGTCCATTCACAGTGAAGATCGGTCGACGTACAGAGAAAAGATGGGGAATAGTTTTCAAGTGTCTGACCACCCGTTGTCTTCATCTTGATCTCTTAGAGAGCCTTGATACAGATGCATTTTTAATGTCTCTCCGCAGATTCATAGCGCGAAGAGGGAAACCATTTGAGCTCCTTTGTGATAATGGAACCAACTTTGTTGGAGGAGACAAAGAGATGAGAGCAGCCTATGAAGCCATGATGCCTCAAGAGTATGATAAAGCCAGTGGACTTATCAGGGTCGGAGGGACACTGAGACATGCTAAGCATATGGAATTGGACGCAATACATCCCATTGTGCATAATTTGTATTTGTAATCTATATTATTGTTCTGAATGACGATATTTGCCCGTAAATTGAACGCATTTTAAACTGAGTCACAAAAGTGAAATTGAAAGTGAAACCAAACGCTTTCGTATCGGACTTTGAGCTTTATAATAAGTGTATTTCTATTAGAATACAAATGATTATGTTCACTTCCTAGTTACATATCACCCGGTTTGTTCAATATTGTTTGAAATGTCAAATTTGATGACGTTGCACTTTCCCTGCTTGTAATATTGAGCATACGCAACAATCGCGCAATCTGCTTGTAATTGTTTACTTTATTTACTAATATAATCGGCAAATAATGTATGTTAATTAAGTCATTACTCTTTAGTGTCCCTTGATCATAATGATCTCTCACACTTAAAAACAAAACTAAAGCATCAGATGGCAGGCATTTCACATAAAGACTTGAAGAATTCCTCCCATGTCTAAATAAACTGCTGCATAAGACAGTCATCTGCCACCACCTGTCACCAGAGCACCACCCACACAACATCCCTCACGCAGACCTCAGCGATTCCTCACCGCAGTCTAATTCCCTCCACACATCTGCAGGAGCTTTGAGCAGATATATGACTGCCATAACAGGAAAGAACACCAAATCCAGCTCTTTCCTTACAGAGCACATCTTCATCAGCTCTCCATATTAATAAGATTATTCCAGTTTCATGTCCAGAAACCTGCTATAGTGTAAAAATTATAACATCTCACTGTCTCTATCTACATTTACCTAAGCTTCTAGGGTTTTATATTGATGCTTGTTGAGCACTTGAATCTCCTTATCTGGTTCAATAATGTGTGTCTGTCAATTATATCAAATAATGTGTATTCTTAAGTCAGAGGCAAGTTTAAGTCAAGCTTGCAATATTCCTCAATGCATTTCCATCTGCTCGTCCCCATCATTTGCTGGGTGCACGAAAAACAATGCATGTTTTTTACTAAACAAGTCAACACTTTTTGTTTCAAAAGGGAACGATTAATTCAGGTATCACCTTCTTTCAGAGAACACCACATTGGAAAAACAAATGTAAAGGTTTTTGCAAATACTTTATACTATTGTAATTTATACTACTGTAAAAGGGGAATTTGCACACCTGAAGCAGTGTTCCATGGATGTGGTTTCGTTGGAGTCCTGGTCCAGGTTCTTGAGGCAGCTCCTCCAGTAGAGTCTGGATGGTGGAGGGAACCTGGGTCAACAGAACAAAAGGAACCAGGGCTCTCGCTGCCATTTCACGTGTGCGGTACACTGCAGAGCGACCGCACCTACAAGAAAACCAAGGGGTTCTGGTGAAGGAGTGAGAAGTACTTTTGGAATTAAACTCTATTCTTGAGATTATAGCTGTGATTATAGCTGTGCACACTTATTTTCTCAGCCAACTTTATAAGGTGCATCCTGGGATGCTTTTAAACAACACTGAAAGAGTTCCCATGTACTGTAAACAGTAAAATCTGTATACAGTAAAAAACTGAATTATTGTGAAATATTGTTACAATTTAAAATAACTATTTTCTATTTGAAAATGTAATTTATTCCAGTGATGCAAAAGCTGAATTTTCAGCATCATTACTCCAGTCTTCAGTGTCACATGATCCTTCAGAAATCATCGCTCCTCAAGACACATTCTTTATTATTATTATCCTCATACAGGGGTACCTCATACATTATACATTTGACAACTCCATAAAGCACTACAAGCGCATCGATATGAACACTCGTTTAAGTGGCATACAAACTGGGAGATTTGACTGCATATCACATTTCTTAAATTATCGATAGCCTACTGTTTGCAGTCATAATACAACGCATGGGTGTACGGTAAATAAATTAAGCCTTTAAAGAAAAGTCATTGGGCTGTTGTTTCCATTGTCGTTTACAATAAAATGACCTGCACAGAGAAATTAAAATAAAAATGAAAAGTGCCTACCTTAAATAACCCCGAACGTGGATTTGCGCTCAGCAGAGGAGCGGACGAATTCTTTCATCATGTCTTGAATGTTTACGCTGTCCAAAATGTCTCCGTGAACATGAAGCAATGCCAGATGAGTAAGCATTGGGCATTTAAAAAAATCGGAAATTCGCTTTTGCGCCATTATCTCCTAGTTTTAAAGTGAATCTTGCTCGCATTCTGTATAGTTAATGTGTGATACCGCGCGCCAGCATCACGTCACGTGTTCATGAGGATTATGATAGGCTAATCCCATATAGAAAACATCACAAGTAAAATTAATCATGTTTATAAAGATAAGCGTGGGTTTATTATAGCCCACCTACAATTTACATTTCAGAGATTAGTACAAATAAATTATTAAATGATAAAACTGAATAAATTTTAAATGAACAAATTTGGCGTTGCATTTGCAACCCTGTGAAAACAGGGGGTGCTGCAGCCCCCCCAGCACCCCTACTTCCCGCGTCCCTGAGTGTGGGTATTGGGACAAGCCCAATGACTAAAGTAAGATATCAAAGATATCTACGTAATGACATCTACATAACACCTCACAGTATTATCACAATAAAAAAAAAAATTCTAAGAGGTGCAAGTCCATCTGTCCATTACTGACATTTTATTAATAACCAAGCACAAAATTTGGGTTCTGACTAGATCTAAAAAATGTCAAAGCATACATCGAAAAACAAAAACTGATAACTAATTACTTTATATTCATAAAATGGTGGTGACCAAATTAAGTCATGGAAAAAAGTGGTGTCCCGCCAAAGGGCCAGTGATAGGTCATGGTAGGTAGGGTTAATATTAACGATTATTATTAATATTATTAATATTACCTGTGCCATTTCACCTCATCAGAAGTAATGGTATAGTTCACCCAAAACTGAAAGTTCTGTCACCATTTCTTCACCCACATGTCGTTCCAAACCGGTATGATTGACTTTCTTCTGTGAAACATACAAATATATTTTGAAGAATGTTGGGAACCAAATACCATGCCCATTGATTTCCATTGTATGAGCAAAAAATACACTTTTTAAAATATCTTTTTTTATGTTCCACAGAAGAAATGTCAAACAGGTTTGGAACGGCAAGAAAATGACAGAAATTTCATTTTTGGGAGAAATATCCCTTAAAGGCAGGGTAGGTGACTTGGTTCAAAAATTTTTTTTTGTTATGCTGGTTGAAAGTCTCTTCACATCCTGATAGCAATCACTAAGTTAAGTGGTTTAAATGTATTTATATGTATTTCTATCATGACAACTCTCTGAAGATTTTAGCATGGCAATGATATGACAATGTTAATGTATTTGATCTTGAAGGAATAGATCTGCTACGCGGCTGAATTGCTGCTGCTGTTGGTTAATGCTGTTGTTGTATACTGCTGTTGCTGCTGCAAAGCAAGCACAGAAACTTGCTACTGCCAATACATACACCGATACGGTGCTGTGAGTATTTAAGACATACTGCTGATGCACAACTAGCATATATAATAACATATATTATAACAATGCTGTCTCTCATCGTTTCACTGATTAGCCTCTGGTCTGCCTGCTCTGGTCATGTGTTTTGGAGGAGGCGTGGCTTTGGAGAGAGATTTCCGAAATTGCCTACCCTACCTTTAAGTAACTTGCCAAACTCTTGCTAACATGTTCACAAGTGGGTGTAGGTTGAACCCTTCATCACTTTAGTTTTAGGTCATGCCATTACACAAACAGCCATGTCGGGCATGATGTCTTGTATGTAACATGTTTAGTGCACGGTAAGCAAGTGGGACATGATAATATAGAAAGATAGGGTGGGGCATGTCATATGCAAGTCAACTTCCACCAGCCACTAGTATTTGTGCTGTACAGACTGTACTCTCTAAATGGAACCGAAAGAAAGCAGGAGACGCCAACAACAGCCTGCCAGTTACACACAGACAGTCACATTAAACCACATGGCATACATGTTGCCTTCAGCAGACACAGCATAACAACAGTCCGCAGACGCGTCACATGATGCACTCACAGAGACCCGTTTGTGGCACAGTAATTTCCTATTGCTAAATTCTGAAAAAACAGAGGTGTTAATAATTGGACCAAAAACCTCCGCATGTAATAACCTAGAACACTGTCTAACATTGATGGCTGCTCGGTCAAATCTTTGTCATCAGTTAGGAATCTGGGTGTGCTATTTGATAGCAATCTTTCCTTTGAAAACCATGTTTCTAGCGTTTGTAAAACTGCGTCTTAAAAATATATATAAATTACGACCTATGCTCTCAATGTCAAATGCAGAAACGTTAATTCATGCGTTCATGACCTCAAGGTTAGATTATTGTAATGCTTTATTGGGTGGTTTTAAAATCTTGCTAGTTACTTATAAAGCCCGGAATGGTTTAGCTCCTCAGTACTTGAGCGAGCTCTTATCACATTATAGTCCTTCACGTCCGCTGCAATCTCAAAACTCTGGCCATTTGATAATACCTAGAATATCAAAATCAACTGTGGGCGGCAGATCCTTTTCCTATTTAGCGCCCAAACTCTGGAACAATCTACCTAGCGTTGTCCGGGAGGCAGACAAAAGGTGCGTTTCCATTACAGATTTGCGCAAAACTTTGGCGATATTTTATAAACGTTGATAAAAAAGTATTGCGAAATGACGGCGTTTCCATTAACCAATGTTATGCGACTAAAACGTAACCTTTTGCCTCTCGCGATAAGTCATGGCAACGGATTTTGGTGGGATTTTGACAGATTTTGGCTATATTTATTCAAAGGAGACATATGCGTGTATCTTTACAGAAGCAGCAAAGAGAGCCGCTTCAGAAACGTGCGTGGCGCAGCTGGATTCTGGAATAAACAAGCTTCAGTGGCCGTATCAGAGCCACACTGCACCGCAGACGTGTGCAGAGTAAATTGTCTAAGCATTAATGGTAGGGAAAGCCCCTTATACTGGAGAGCGGCCACATATGATGTGTTTCTTGGAGGTTATAGTACATTGAAGAATGATCATATGACTTTTTGCATATGCTATGTGACCTGCAAATGCGAAAAAGCCGTTTCCATTGCAGTTTTGCGAATTATTCCTTTTCGCATTGCCTGAAAAACCACCTCATGCGAACGTAAAAACGTTTTTTGCGATATATGGGCATTTTTGCGCAATTTGAAGGGTAATGGAAACGCACCTACACTCTGTCAGTTTAAATCTAGATTAAAGAACCATCTCTTTAACCTGGCTTACACAACACACTATCACATTTTCAAATCCATTAATGGATTGTTAGGCTGTATTAATTAGGTCAACCGGGACCAGGAACTCCTCCCATAACACCCGATGTACTCGCTACAATGTAAGAATGGCATCTACTCTAATATTAGTCTGTTTTATCCTTGAGATGACTTCTACAGCCCTGAATGTCAGCGAAGACCATCTCAATTAGATGGGCCCTAGAGACCGATCCTCTGCGAAGACATCATCAACTAGACAGCCATCGGCACAAGACCACGAGAACCAGACAAGTCTTCTGCACAATCTGACTTGTGTTGCAGCCTGAAACTAAACCACACCATGCTGGTTTCGTCTGGCCGGAGGAGAACTGGCCCCCGATTGAGCCTGGTTTCTCCCAAGGTTTTTTTTTTTCTCCATTTCGGTCACCGATGGAGTTTTGGTTCCTTGCCACCGTCACCTTTGGCTTGCTTAGTTGGGGACACTTAATTTCTGGCAATATTGTCAGCTTGATTGCACAGACACTATTGGAAGAGAGCTGAACTGGATGATAACATCACTGAATCATCAATTAACTGACTTTAGCTGAAAAATGACTCTTTGTTATTGTCCTCTTGCATTGATACACTATTGTCCGGTTTGACACAATCTGTATTGTATAAAGCGCTATATAAATAAAGGTGACTTGACACACAAAACCAGCCTAACCTTTTGTGTTCATCTTTTCCTTTACACATTAAAGTAATAGTTCCCCCAAACATCATCACCTCAACCTGATGTCATCCCAAGTCGTTATGATCTTCCACTACGGTGAGTCGTCAACCTGTGCTACCTGATCACTGAGAACTCAAGAACTGGATGAATCCAATTTGAGAATGAATCATCCAAATGAATCACGTTTTGAATACCAGATTGTAGTCACTGTAAATGTCTGACTGAAAAGAATGATTAGTTCAGGAATCAGACATTACTCCTCACATTAACTCTCGATGGTGCCAAGGAGATCTAGATTGGATGTCAAGATTTACAGGAAATATCGGTCCTTTCGAGATCACGTTCCGGGGGGTGGGGGTGGGGGGGTCCCCCTCGGTCCGTTCGCCG